TTTTTTTTTTTTTTTTTTTGTCTTTTAGAACAAGGGTAAAATTCCATTCTGATAACAAAATGCAGTATTCCCACCACTGTGAGCACCTTTTAGAAAGACTGAACAAACAACGGGAAGCAGGCTTTCTTTGTGACTGCACTATAGTGATTGGGGAATTCCAATTTAAAGCTCATAGGAATGTGCTTGCCTCCTTTAGTGAGTATTTTGGTGCGATCTACAGAAGCACTTCTGAGAACAATGTCTTTCTTGATCAGAGTCAGGTGAAGGCAGATGGATTTCAGAAACTGTTGGAGTTTATCTACACAGGAACTTTAAATCTTGACAGGTTAAGTATGCATTTTATTTTCGGTTATAAAGTCTAGTCAATAATCTTTAGAGTTATAGTCGTTTTTTTTTTTTTCTAGTCTGTCTCTGAACTCAGTCTTCGAATATTGACACATATGGTTTTTTTAAATAAAGAAGTCAGTGTCACAGATTTAGAATGAACAGAAAACGTAGCATTTTATAAACATGAGAAGCACAAGTGTTAATGAGATTAAAACTTTGTTTCTGATGCATTTGATTTACCTACTGAACGAAGTTCATGATTTCAGTTATGTAAACTTGAAGATTGAGCACAGTGAATTCTGAGTTCCAGTTTCCCACTGGTTTTTGGTCTTTATATTCCTCTTTTTGCTCTTTGTACCTTACCTCTTAAGGTGATTGGGATGAGGGAGTGTAGATGGGGGTGGGGAAGAAAGGAAGAACCTCTGCTCAATTAATCATACTTCCATGTCCATCCCTAAATAGCAATGTGTAGAGTCTGTTTCTAATCTTGATTCTGGAAAGCAACTCATTGAAGCATAAATGGCAGTTACTCCTTCTGTTACCTCTGTAAAACTCGCAGTACTGATGCTTAAGTCAGATCTGAGGTGCTAGAGTGATTAATGCTATCACTGCACTAACAAGCAGGTTCTGAGGAATCTTATAATGCAGGCACTGTGTGTCTCCCTTAGATAATGAACTATTTAATTAGATTAATTGCAATACATCTACTAGTTGTGGGGGAAAAAGTGGAGGGAATAAAAGAGAAACCACTCAAATTAACCCTGCTGCCTTTCCTCCATTTCTTACGATATTGTAAACATAAAAGTGGAGTTCTCATTATCTTCTGCTGTAAAAAGATTATTCCACTTGCTGTCAAGTTGATTCTGTCTCATGGCAAGCCCATGTGTATCAGAGTAGAACTGCTTTGTAGGGTTTTGAATGGCTAATTTTTCAGAAGTTGATCACCAGGCCCTTCCAAGGTGCCTCTGGGTGGGCTTGAACCTCTAGCCTTTTGGTTAGCAGCAAGTGTGTTAAGCATTTGCACCACCCACGCACTCCAAAGAAGGATTATGGGCTTTGGAATTAGATTTTGCCTGTCAGTCACTATATCTCCTTGAGCAAGATGCAACCCCTCTCTGGGCCTCAGTTTCCCTATCTGTAAAAATGAGATGGTAATAAGTACCTTGGTGTTACTGTGAAAATTAAATAAGAATTTACTTGAAGGAGGGGGAACAGTTACAGATATTTCCTAGATATAACCAAACACCTTGTGGGATTGATTCACTGGGTTTGAAGGTTTAGGACCATAGTCTTGGGGGACAACTCAGTCAGTTCGCATAACATTGTTCGTAAAGATACTGTTCTACATCTTACTGGTATCTGGGGTCTTAAGAGGTTGTGAGTGGCCATCTAAGATACAACTGTTGATCTGTACTCATCTGGAGCAAAAGAGAAGGAAACCAAAGACTCAAAGAAGAAACTAGTCTGTAGGACTAATAGCCCACACGAACCCACGCGCCCCGCTGTCCTCGGACCCCTCAGGACCCGGCCGCGGAAACAGGGTCGACCAGCATAGCAATAGGCGGTGGAACCCAACTCTGTGTGTCTCTGAAACTGCAGGCTTAGGTTTTCTTTATTTGATTTTTTGTTTTTTTCCCTCTCCGAGGCTCGAGGTCGACCAGATATCTCTCTTGGGCTCTCGCTCCCACCTCTTCCAGCGAAGCTGTGGCTTCGCTGGGTCCTGTGACTGAGTCTGCCATTCTGGATCCCTCCTTCATGATGCGGTGCAGTGTTTGTTGTGTTTGTTGTTTTAACTTAGCTGTGGTGTGGTGTGTGTTGTTGTGGTGGTGCGGTGTGCATGGCCCTGTCTATCCCAAAACCAGAAGAACTAGATGGTGCCCAGCTACTGCTAACTACTGTTGTGACCAGAGACACAATAGATGGTCCCAGATAGAATGGGAAAAAATGTAGGATAAACCTCTAATTCCTAAAAAGGCAAGACTTACTGGACTGGTAGAGACTAGAGGATTGCCTGAGACTTATCACCCAGAGATACCCTTTAGACTTGGAACTGAAGCCATTCCCGAAGGTCACCTTTCAGCCAAATAATAGATTGGCTTATAAACTAAGCGGTATCACCCATGAGTACTGTGTTCTTCTGAATAATCATCTGTATGAGACTAAATGGTCAATATTTACCCTCAGGCAAAGATGAGAAGATTGGGCTGGAAGGACAGGGAAGCTAGATTAATGAAAACAACAACCAGAATGGACATAATGAGAATGCTGACACATTGAGAAAAATGTAACCAATGTCACTTGACAATATGTTTAGAAATTGTTAAATGAGTACTTAATTTGCTGTATAAACGTTCACCAAAAATAAAATAAAAGGGAAAAAAAGTTTACTTGAAAGCCTACCTCCCAGTGAACATTAGATTCTTTCCTTTAGTTTCTCTGCTCCTCCCTCTCCCTTTAATTCCATGTTTTTTGATAAAATTTTGAAAAGAAAAAGCAAAAAGAAAAGGGAACACCTGGAATTTTGCCACACCCTGATAACTTTATTAACATTTTGATATATATTCTTTCAGGCTTTTCCAAATGATCTGTAGAGATACAGTAAAACCTGTGAAATCCAGAGTCTGTGTAAGGCGGAAACCTGCTAGAGAAGGAAAACTCAAATATTTTCCACTGATAGAGAGCGATAGAAAAGAGGTACGACTGTACCCTGACAAAGGTGGAAGACTTGCAAGACCTGGAAAAACAAGGCCGTCCAGTCGAGTTCCAGCTCTCACAGGTTTCACTGTATATGCATGCACATGTTAAGCAAATGTGTACATTCCTTTTACATTTCAGTTTACCATGGAAGTGTACTTTTTTTAAAAAAGGTGTAATCAGGACTCTCCTTAATCCTTTTTTAAAAAATTGTGCTTTAGCTGAAGGTTTACAGAGCAAATTATTTTCCTATTCAATAGTTTATACACAAATTGTTCTGTGACATTGGTTGCAGTCCCCGCAAGGTGTCAGCACTCTCCCGTTACCACCTGAGTTCTCCATTTCCATTCGTCTGTTTTTCGTGCCCCTTCCTATCTTCTCATCTTTGCTTTTGGGCATATATTGTCCTTTTGGTCTCATATAGATGATTGTTCTAAGGAGAATTTTCCTCACGTGTGTTATTGCTTGTTTATAGGCCTGTCAGTTAATTCATTGAAGGTGATCTCCAGGGATGGTTCAGTTCCAAGTTAGAAGGGTATCTAAGGGCTATAGTCTTGGAGGGTTCTCCAGTTTCTCTCAGATCACTAAATCTGTTCTTTTTTATGAATTTGAATTTTGTTCTTCATATTTTTCCCCCTACTCTAACCGAGACCTTCTATTGTGATCCAGGTCGGAGCGGTTGGTAGTGTTAACTGGGCACCATCTAGTTCTTCTGGTCTCAAGCTGGTAGAGGCTGTGGTTCCTGTGGTCCATTAGTACTTTGGACTAATTGTTTCCTTGAGTCTTTGGTTTTCTTCACTCTCCTTTGCTCCATACAGAAAGAGACCAGTAGTTTTATCTTAGATGGCAGCTCTTTTGCTTGATCCTTTTGAAAAGAAAACATTCATGCTACTTTGAAATTTTGATATAATGAAATCCTAATATGAGTCAGTTCTGTAAGTTGATTAAAGGAATAGTGAAGTGTTATAGATTAATCTCAAATGATGAATTATTTAAATTTACTTAATAGTTAACTATGCGGATTCCTCTGATTTAAGAATTTAGAATACTTAATATAAAAGAATGTGGCTGGGTGGCACAAATGGTAAAGCACTTGACTACTAGGTGAAAGTTGGCGGTTCAGACCCACTCAGAGGTACCTCGGAAGTCAGGCCTGATAATCTGTCTGAAAAGTCACAGCCTTGGAAACAGTGTGGAGCAGTTAAACTCTGCACATATGGGGTTGCTGTGAGATAGCAGTTAACAACAATAACGATATAAAGTAACCACAAAGTCAATGAATTTTGGTTGAACTTCAATTTAGTTATTTCTGTTTCTCAATTGACTATGCCAGAATGAATCTTTTTGGATTGATTTGAACACACTGCTGAGCACCTTTTTTGAGACTTTATGCAGAGAAACTGAAGAAGAGGCATATATTTTGTTCAATCTTTTTGGTACATATTTTTCCTGGCCCAGGGAGAACTGTAAGAGAAGACTTATACCAAAGTAGAAAACCTGTACAGCTAAATTATTAAGAAAACCAGCAGAATAGTAGGGAATTAAGTGGATTCAGTAGCCAGATTTCCTTGATCAAATCTTGATTCTAATACACTGTGATCTTGGACAAGTTATTTAATTTCTTTGAACCCCTGCATCTTCATTTGTATGTAAAATAGGGGTTATAATAGATTTCATAGGCATGTTTTGAGAATTAAATGAGCTAGTCATATAAAGCATTTACTCACATACCTGGCAATTTATAATTAAATGACCTTCATGACTGTTCAAAAGATGAAAGCAAGTTTGCTTTTCATCTGTGCTTGTAAACAGAAGTACCAGATCAATTATTGAGGTAAACAAATGCTGATAGCTTCTCTTAACTGACAGATTGCAGGCTGGTCTATCAAACAGATGAATGATTTTTACAAATTATTGTTTCAGTGCTGAACAATTAGTATGTGACTTAATGCTAGTTTATGTTAGTCTTAAAGGCTACCTGATTGTCAGGGGCACATTAGCCAATAGGCAAGGTAAGCATGGTGCTTACCTTGCTTACCAGATCATCTGCAGTGAACAGTTTCACGTCTTTTTCACCACATCAAAGATTCCGCTTCTAGGTATGGTTGACATCTCTTTCCCAACCTCACAGCACCTTCCTACAGAATCAAAGCCTCTTTTCGAATTTACAGTCGCTGAGGGTGAGTTACCCAGTAAGCAAGGTAAGCACAATGAAACCCATGTGAAATTGTGCACTACAGATTAGTAAGTAAGCACAAGTAAGCCCGCACTTACCTTGCTTACTGGCTAGTCCGCCCCTGCTGATTGTGTTATCTGATTGGTGGTTCATTTTATGGAGCACTAAGCACAATTAAATTGGGGCCTTGGTGGCGCAGTGGTTGAGAACTGTGGTGTGCTACGGCTGCTAACCAAAAGGTCGGCAGTTTGAATCCACCGGCCGCTCCTGGAAACCCTTTGGAGCAATTCTACTCTGTCCTATAGGGTTGCTGTTAGTTGGAGTCAACTCAGTGGCAGTAGGTCGGCAGTTGTTAGGCACAATTAAAGCACTCGACTGCTAACCAAAACGGCAGTTCTAACACACCAGCTGCTCCACAGAAGAAAGATGTGACAGTCTGCTTCCATGGAGATTCACAACTTTGGAAACCCTATGGGGCAGTCCTGCTCTGTCCTGTAGGGTCGCTGTGAGTTGGAAATGACTCACTGACAGTGGATTTGGAAGCACAATTATAGTTTAGGACCAAAAGATCTACTTAAGTTTAGTAAGTGGTGGAGTAAATTTGCTTTTTATCCCAGTAGTATCTCTCAGATACCTTTTTAATAGATTATGTAATAAAATCAGTAAAAATGCTTAAGAATAAACAATGTTTTTGGAGGGTGATATATACATGCAAAAATATTTTGTATAAAAGGTAAATAAAATTGTGTTTATATTTGGGGCATTCATGCTATTTTTATCAAATAGAGAGTTGATGATTCTGTATTCCAAAATTATAGCCAAAGGCCATAAAAAGAATATTTTAGGTAACATTTTCTTAACTGTGGGGAAAGACCCAATTTGCAAACAGATTGTGTTGCAGAAGTTATTTGTAATATGTTTAGGAACTTGAGATGCGTTTTCCCAGAGAGTAAAATGTTTTCTAAGTTGGCGATCAGGTTTCCAAACTAGCCTGTAGGTCTGTTTAATTTGTAATGAGTTGGAAAATAGTTATGTTTATAATAAAAGACAATTTATAAAAAGCCATTGTAATGCTAAATTAGGTAAAGGAAGCATACAGCAGGTCTGTAGTGGAGCCTGAGATTATGCATTTCTAACACACTACCTGGTGATGCTGATGCTGCGGTTCATGGACTGTCTTTGAGGAACAAAGTTTTGGAATGTGCTGAGCCCTCTCTGGGGCCCTGGTGGCTCAGTGGTTAAGCGTTTGGCTCCACTATAGGCCTACTGAATCAGAACCTGCATTTTAACAAGATCCTGGGGTGGATTCACATGCACTGTAGAATTTGAGAAGTACAGTTCAGGCCCCCCAGAGGGGAGCGGAGGAAGGTAGTGAGAAGCCATTTTTATCAGACTCTTGTTACCAATCCAGAAAAGTTGACTGCTCTCTGAAGAGGTCTCAGGGTGAATGGGAGGAGGCAGTAAGTTACCAACAGCTGTTTTCATGTCTAAGTACTTTTAAAACAACCAGAAAATTTAACATTTTATTTTTCTCCATTGGAGCCATGGTGGCATAGTGGTTAAGAGCTACGACTGCTAACCATACAGCTGGTAGTTCGAATCCACCAGCCAGACCTTGGAAACCCTATGGGGCAGTTCTGCTCTGTCCTAAAGGGTCGCTATGAGTTGGAATTGACTTGACGGCAATGGGTTTTTATGGGTAGTGGTCAATAGGTAGCCCTGAATAGCCATCATTTTTCATCTTTTCAAGTTCTGTAAGATTGGAGGTTCTTTAATGAATTAATTTTGTACATTCTCTTATTTATGCATTTTTTAGCATTCTGTTTCATTATAGGTTTTTAAAAGGCATTGAAGTATATGTGCAGCTCTGTTTCGGAAACAGTTTTTCTTTGATCAGAATATTGTCATTTAGCCTTGTTTCCTTACAGTTGGAATGTTAAAGAAATTCATCAGGCTGCTGACTATCTCAAAGTGGAAGAGGTGGTCACTAAATGTAAAGTAAAGATGGAAGATTTTGCTTTTATTGCTAATCCCTCTTCTACAGAGATATCTAGTATTACTGGAAACATTGAATTGAATCAACAGACTTGTCTCCTTACTCTACGAGATTATAACAATCGGGAGAAATCTGAAGGATCTACAGATTTAGTTCAGGCAAATCCTAAACCAGGAGCTTTGGGAAGGAAGTCGTCTCAAACTAAAAAGAAGAAGAAGGCTTTCAACTCCCAGAAAACAGAACAGAATAAAACAGTGCAATATTCCAGTGACATTTTAGAGAATGCATCTGTTGAACTATTCCTAGATGCAAATAAGTTGTCCACATCTATAACAGAACAAGTTTCACAAAGAAATGATAGTTCAGAGCTTGAGTTGACATCAGTTGTGGAAAATACTTTTCCGGCACAAGATACTGTGCAGACTGTCACTGTGAAACGGAAACGTGGAAAATCCCAGCCAAACTGTGCTCTGAAAGAACACTCTATGTCTAATATAGCCAGCATCAAGAATCCTTATGAGCTGGAGAGCTCTGGGGAAGAGCTGGATCAAAGATATTCCAAGGCCAAGCCAATGTGTAACACGTGTGGGAAAGTGTTTTCAGAAGCTAGCAGCTTGAGAAGGCACATGAGAATACATAAAGGAGTCAAACCTTATGTCTGCCACTTGTGTGGGAAGGCATTTACCCAGTGTAACCAGCTGAAAACACATGTAAGAACGCATACAGGTAAGACTGGTTTGTGGGGATATGTAATTGCTTTTAATACTATGATTGCAATAATATTTTTTTATAGCAAGCATATTACTCTTGCAAATGTTGACTGCTTGTGCCCTAAATTTAGTATATTCTTAAATTCATAAAAGTATTTAGTAGGGTAGACAGCTGAAAATTTCTCTTACCAAGTATTTTAGTGGCTTTTTTTTTGGCACTTAGTATTTTATTGTAACTGATGAAGTCCCAGTGCATGAGCTCTTTATACCTTTTTCCTTCACAGTTAAAATAAGCATGAACTTGGTTCTAGTTTGCTGAGTATTTAACAAAGATACCAAAACTGATGGAAAGTGTTACAGCTCAGGCCAATTCTGAGATTCTGCCAAGACTTCTTGTCACCTGCTTCCTTGACCTTGCCAATTTCTGAACTCGTTAGAATTACGCATACATTCCTTCCTCAGCTTCTACACGTACCTTTATTTTGCAGATCCTTTTTCTCATGGTAAAGTGTGAGCGCTCATTGGTACCTTTGTTACTTTTTAAGATACAATATCTATTTTTCTCACTGATCATCTGTCACCATTATGAGTTGAAAACCACTAATTTCTTTTAACTCTCCAGGTGTTTTCAGTGGTGAATCTGGAAAAAGAGATCCTATTTGCTTTTACTTCTACCAGTTAACATTTTCTGATTACCAAAACTAGTAGTATTGATGAACTGTTTTGAAAGCTTATATGGCTTCAGTAAACAAAGTAGTATTTCCTTCTAATTCTAAATTTTATTTTTCCTTTAGGTGAGAAGCCATACAAATGTGAATTATGTGATAAAGGGTTTGCTCAGAAATGCCAGCTAGTCTTCCATAGCCGCATGCATCACGGTGAGGAAAAACCCTACAAATGTGATGTGTGCAATTTACAATTTGCAACTTCTAGCAATCTCAAGATTCATGCAAGGTAAAAAAAAAAAAAAAAAAAAAAGGCGATTGATCTTTTAGTTTGTTGTTCACCATCATTTTATGAATAGACTGCTGGATTAGAACTCAGGACAGTACAATTCTAATTATGATTCCACCACAGAATATTATTAGCATATTCAAGGGACTATAAAGAAACTGTGGTGGGTGGGAGGGAAGTTAGTCATCGGGAAAGAGTACTAGGAGATAAGACCAGAATAATGATAGGGCATCCAGATGGTATAATGTTTTGTAGGTCATTGTAAAGCTTTTACTGTTGAGATTGAGAGATGATATGAACTTGCTTGCATTTTAAGAGGATTACTCTGGCTGCTATATTAGGAAAAGACTAGGGTTGCAAGAGTGGAAGCAGGGCGACCAGTTAGGAAGCTGTAGGTAAAACCCAAGTGAGAGTGATGTTGGCTCAGGCCAGGGTAGTAGCAGTGGAAGAAGTAAGAAGTCGGATTCTGAATATATTTTAAAGGTAGAGCTGACAGAGTTTGCTGATAAATTAGATGTGGGGTATGAAAGAAAGAAGAGTTAGTGGTGTTTTGAGATTTTGGGCCTGACCACCTGAGATAATGGAGTTGCCATTAACTGAGATGGAGAAGGTTTTCGGGTAGAGCAACTGAACAGGGAAAGGTCAGTTCAGTTCTCAACATGTTAAATTTGAGATGACTAGTAGACATCTAAGTGGAGATGTACGATAGATAATTAGATGTCTAAGTTTAGAGTTCAGAGGACTGGCTTGAGCTGAAGATACAAATGTGGAAGTCATCAGCATTTAGATGGTATGTAAAGCCGTAACACTGAGTAAGATCACACAGAGAGTGAACATAGCTAGAAAAGAGAAAAAAAAAAACTGAGTCCTGAGTCACTCTTAAGAGTTCCAGGAGATAGGAGAGAACCAGCAGAGGCCACTGGGAAGGAATAGCCATTATAGGAAGAAAACCAGGAAAGCAGGCTGTCTTGGAATTCAAGTGCAAGAAATGATTCCAGAAAGGAGTGATCACCCATGCCAAATTCTGCTGATAGGGAGGTGAGGACTGAGAACTAACTATTTAGCAAAGCGGGAGGTCAGCAATGTTCTTGACAAAAGAAGCATTGGTAGAGAAGAGGTTAGTAGAGAAGAAATGGAAGTAGAACATTTGGAGACTCAAGGAGTTTTTAGTAAAGGGGAGCAGAGAAATGGAAGAGCAGATGGGGTCGGGGTTTTTTTTGTTTTTAAAGATAGGAAAAACTGTCAGTATTGTATGCTGTGATCCAGTGTGGTGGGAAAAATGGAAGTTGTAGGATGGGAAATGGCCAGGGTGATATTGAGTAGGCAAGAGGGAATAGGCTTTCTAGTGTACAAGTGAAAGTGGCTAGTTTCAGATGAACTGTTACTCTCATAGTTCACAAGAAAGAAGCCAAACCATATAAGTACAGATCCTAGTAGGTGAATAGTTGCGATAGTGGAAATTTTCTCCCAATTGCTTAAATTTTTCTAAGTAGGAAGCAAGGACATCAACTGAGGGTGAATGCTGGAGGTTTGAGGAAAGTTTCAAAGAGTGGAGAGTGAATGGACTAGTGAGAATAATTGCTGGGCAGTATTAGAGGCTCAGCTGACAATCATGGAAAGATGATGGTAAAACTTTTTGAATGGCTCCCAAAATAACGTTTTGATAATAACCGGAACATTTATTTTTGGCAGTGTTTACACTGAAACAACTGCCAATTTTAAATGTATATTGTTAGTCTGTTAAGATGAATGAAATAAAATACTATATAAGAAATTGTACTAAAAAAGATTGTGTGCAAAGATTGACCCCAAAATTGTTCTACTCACCAGCCTATAACTTTGCTTGTTTACTAATAGGAAGCATAGTGGAGAGAAGCCATATGTCTGTGATAGGTGTGGACAGAGATTTGCCCAAGCCAGCACACTGACCTATCATGTTCGTAGGCATACTGGAGAAAAGCCTTATGTGTGTGATACCTGTGGGAAGGCATTTGCTGTCTCTAGTTCTCTTATCACTCATTCTCGAAAGCATACAGGTAAGAGTTTGACACAGAGAGACTGCTTCAAAGAAGGAAAGGTGTTGTAGATAAAAGAAAAAGGGAACTAAATTAGGTCTTTACAGAAAGTAGTTTTTTGACTTTGTATTTAGATATCTGTATTTGTACCTCTAGAAAGCTTTGTATTCTAGGAGCTTTGTAATTTTATGATTTTCATATAAATATTAGATATATGAAAACTGGCTTATCTTCTAGAATAATACAAGATGGGTGAATTTTTTTTTTATCATGCAACTTATACACATTAAAATCAGTGAGATAATTTTGACAACCTATAAACTTGAGCTGAGACGTGTTTATGACCTTAGAAAGGTTTCTTAGTCTTTTGAAGCTGCATTTCTTGTGGATAAAATTACGGAGTAGTTAGGGGTGAAGAGGTCGGTTTGGGTAGAACGTTCATTTTATAACCTCTTAGACATTCTGAGGTTTGAAAATATTGTAAACAGATCCTTCAAATGCAAGCTCTCAGTTTTGAAGCACACTTTATTGTTCAAAGATTTTCGGTTTTCGTAGGATACATTTTTTTAATGGAATCTTTCCTAAATGCCTTTATTTCTCTTTAATATATAGGGAGAACTAAAATATGAGTTGATACATGTACATTTTTTTCTAATCATATAAAAGTCAGTCTCCTTGTCCAACCTATCTTTGTTAGAAGGGACATTTGCAGAAGTAAGGCTTTATTATATGAAAAGCTTCAGGTTACATGAACAGTATAAAGTAATATTTATTTAAGTTGGATTACTGAAAATACCTCTAAAAAACAATTTAAAGAGATTCTAATTGAAATACAGTCATGTGCTGCATAACATCCATTCGGGCAACGTCTGACTACATATATGTCCGTGGGGCAGTGTGCCATCCTCCAGGGGATGCCCACAGTGTGACTTGGCAGCAAGCCACCCTGCCCCACCCCCAGCCACAAGAACAGGCACCCCTGCCACTGGGAGGAGTAGGGCCCAAGCCTGCTCTTGAGTACCCAAGGTCAGCAGGCATCACGGGGCCCAGCCTGGGAGGGGAGCCAAGTCACCAAGACTGCTCCCCTGCTGCCACGGCTGGCGCCCAGAGCCTCCCCACCATGACCTTCACGAGGCTGCAGGGCCACGTGCCGGGCAGGACCTGGCCATCTGGCCGCGTGCTTACCTGAGGCATCCTCAGCAGGAGTTCCCTGGGCCCCATGCCACATAGCAGCCCCTGGGCCCCACAGACCCAGGTGTTCACACAATGTCCTGTTTCACAGAACGTATCATGGATGTTAAGCGATGCATAACTGTACTATTTTAGAACAGTTTTACTTTATTTGTAATTAATATTATATTGGTATGGTACACCACTATCTTTTATTTTCCATCTAGGTGAAAAACCATACATATGTGGTATTTGTGGGAAAAGTTTTATTTCCTCAGGAGAGCTCAACAAACACTTTCGATCCCATACAGGTCTGTGTTTAGGGAGAACGTATTATTTTTTGTTCTCTCTAATTTCTTTTTATGTAAACCTTGACTTTTAAACCATTGTGGACTATGTGGTATCTAGTCAGACTCTACTGATAGCAGTATTTTAATGTATAAGTATCAATTTTTTATTTCCTTATTTCATTTTTTTTTAGTTGTTTGGAGTGTGAATTAAGTTTAGTCAAGAGTTGTGTAGATTTTCCAGGAAATATGCCAGATAATCAGTAGTTTTGAATGACTTGGATTAAATTGCACAGATATACCAAGAAATGAAAAGGAGTAGATAGTACCAAGTTAACATCAGATTTTCTTTTTAAACAGTGTTTAGTACACAAGTTTTAAGAGTAAATTTTAGTATCAATATAATTATTGTAAAAAGTAGTCTGTAAGTAGTATAAAGAAAATACTGAATGTAAAAACATTTTGGAAAATGCCACTTTAAAAATGTACTGTTTTGACTTCTTTTTAAAAAGTATTTCTCATAATTCATGTCTAGGATAGTTTGAGCACCTAGTAGAGTTTTAATAAGTAAATTTATTTACAGTTCTCTTAGTTCACGGTATAAAGTATTGAACAGTTCTTAACTTCAAAAGAATTATAATTTTGTAGCATTTTATGCTGTCAGTACTTTTTAAGGGTTTTCTGATGTATAAACTATCTGAGAGCAGAAACCGTGTTAATTTTTTTTTTCTTAGTTGTACCTCTTAGCCAGGGACTGGCATATAATTGACATTCACTAAATGTTTGATAGAAATAAAAGAGTAAGTTTTTTTTTAGCTTGCAAATAAATTTCTGTTAATGAAAATGTTCACTTTTCCCTGAAATGGGGATGCTTTATAAAGGAGTGCCTGTGTATATATGATTTTTCATTTTATATTAGAACCAAATGATTAAAATTATAATTTCAAACCAGTATTAAGCAGTATAATAATTTTTGCCTTGTGTTCATAAACACTGATATTTTTGTCATAACTGGAAGCTTCTAAAATACTGAGATCTTAAACTTTTTAACTTGTTTTTCAGGAGAAAGACCATTTATCTGTGAATTATGTGGAAATTCTTACACAGATATTAAAAATTTAAAGAAGCACAAAACAAAAGTCCATTCTGGTAAATGCCTATATTTTTAAAAAATTTGGTGCTCTCATGTTTAAAGAGTGTGCTATTCCTTAAACAGTTAAGGTTGAGATGTAGATTGTAACAGTTTAAACCAGGAATCTTAATAGATATACATATAAGAAGAAAGTAGTTTTACAGTTTGCAAAAAAGTTCACTCTAGATTTGTTTTCATATTGAGCTTCTAATAAAGCATACTTAAAATATTTCCTCCTTTAAAATTTGAATTTATAATCCATTTCAGCATGAACAAATACATAATAAGCTATGTATCACTGTTCCCCATACTAGAGTCTGAGTAACCAAGGGTTTACTGTAGTAATTGTGAGGAAAGGCTCATCATGAACACTAGCCCAGAAATGTATAGGAGGAAGCAGGGAAAACAGGTATCCCCAAATTGTTAAAATATATATAAATAGAAGGACAAACTATTGCTTAAAATGAATTCTTGAAAATGTTTCACTGTGCTCACCATTTTATTCTGCCACAATTAGAAACAAAACACTAAGCTCCTTTAATGTGTAAAGGGCTGCTCATAAGGATTAAGCTAGAAACATCTGAAAACTGCAGTAAGTCATTAACTCAACGTTTATTAAATGCCTATAAAGTACGCATAACTGCAGGGAATATGAAGTTGAACAAGGCGTAGGCTTAGCCCTTAAAAAGATTACAACCTGATGTAGGAGACCAGAAATACAAATAAATAGCTGTAATTGTAAAAGAAAATGAAGTGTATAATAAGAGGCACAAAAAGTGCTGATGAAGAAAAATATTAATTCCTTCTGAGGTGGTGTCTTAGTCATCTAGTGGTGCTATAACAGAAATACCACAAGTGGATGGTTTTAACGAAGAGAAGTTTATTTCCTCACAGTTAAAGTAGGCTAAAAGTCCAAATTCAGGGCGTCAGCTCCAGGGAAAGGCATTTCCTCTCTGTCGGCCTTCTCTTCAGTGCTCCCCCGGACTAGGAGCTTCTCTGCGCAGGGACCCCGGTCCAAAGGACGCGCTCTGCTCCCAGCACTGCTTTCTTGATGGTATGAGGTCCCCCTCTTCTCTCTGCTCACTCCTGTCTTTTATATCTCAAGAGATTGCCTCAGGACACAATCCAGTCTTATAAATTGAGTCCTGCCTCACTAACACAACTGCCGCCCATCCTCCTTCATTAACATCATAGAGGCCGGATTTACAACATACAGGAAAATCACACAGTACCAGGAATCATGGCCCAGCCAAACTGATACACATTTTGGGGGGACATAATTCAATCCATGACATTCCACCCTTTGGCCCTCAGAAAATCATATCCTTGGAACATGCAAAACATATTTTCTCCATTATATCAGCCAAAATCTTAACTCCAAGTCCAAAATCCAAAAATTCCTCTTCATCTGTGAAACCTAGAATACAAGTTAACTGCTTCCAAAGGTACAATGGCAGAACAGGCACAAGCTAGACATTTCCATTACAAATGGGAGAAACTGAAGGGAAAGAAGGGATAACAGGCACCAAGCAAGTCAGCAGAACACATTACATTAGCCCTCAAGGCTTTGAAAATAATCTTCTGTTCTCTGAGACAATTTACACAGTAGCCCTGCCCTTCAGACTCTAGGTGTTGGCCAGTCTCTGGATTCTGACTGGAGGCCCATCAGTTCTGGGCTTCAGCTCCACCTTCCAGGCCCACTGGGACAGCAACTCTGCTCCCTTGGCTTTAGGCGCAGGATTCTCCCAGTCCATCTGAGTGGCGACTCCACCCTTAGAAGCACCAGGGGCCATGGCTCCACCCTTTGAAACCCCTGAGGTGATGGCCGTACCTTTTGAGACTGAGGCAGCTTGGCTTCTTGTGTCCCTTGTCTCTTCAGCTTCTGCTTCTGTTTCCTGTGGCCTCTTGGCCCTCAGGCCTCACGCCCGCATCTGCCCTGCTGGGGCAAGTGTTCAAAGCTAGGTAGCGCCAACAATAAGTGTGCCCGGAGGCACCCCACTCCGCCAGAAGCCTCCTGCACACAGGCACTCAGCTCTCGCTCCGTGGGTCGGCAAGCCTAGCTCCACGGATAAGTGCCCAGAGGCACCCCACTCTGCCAGGAAGCCTCCTGCGCACAGGCACTCAGCTCTCTCACTTCCGTGGGTTGGCTTTAGCACCATCTTGCACTGGTCTGGTTCTGCTGATGTTGGTTCTCTGCCACTGCCGCTCCTTTGCCACTGTAAGTTCTCTGCCACTGCCATTCCTCTGCTGCTGCTGGTCTTCTGTTAGAGCAGCATCCCACTCTCTGGGTACCAAATTCTGTCTTAGTCATCTAGTGCGGCTATAACAGAAGTACCACAAGTGGATGGTTTTAACGAAGAGAAGTTTATTTCCTCACAGTTAAAGTAGGCTAGAAGTCCAAATTCAGGGCATCAGCTCCAGGGGAAGGCTATTTCTCTGTCGGCCTTCTTCTCTTCAGTGTTCCCCCAGACTAGGAGCTTCTCTGCGCAGGGACCCCGGTCCAAAGGACGCGCTCTGCTCCCAACACTGCTTTCTTGATGGTATGAGGTCCCCCTCTTCTCTCTGCTCACTTCTGTCTTTTATATCTCAAGAGATTGTCTCAGGACACAATCCAATCTTGCAGATTGAGTCCTGCCTCACTAACACAACTGCCACCCATCCTCCTTCTTTAACATCATAGAGGCAGGATTTACAACATATAGGAAAATCACATAGTACCAGGAATCATGGCCCAGCCAAACTGATAACACGCATTTTTGGGGGGACATAATTCAATCCATGACAGATGGGTCTTGGAAAAGGTTAAAATTTAGAGGGACTGTGAAGCATGGCTCAGAAGCTGGCTATGGGAAAAGGAGGGTGTGTTCTAGGTAGAAAGAACCTTGTGAGGACAGTCACTGGGACAAGAAAGTGCAGGCTGTATTCTTGGCTGGTCAAACTGTAGGGTAGTTGACAAGAATACACAGAATTATATGTGCAGTTTTCTCTAGGATGTGTGCTGTCAAGTCAATTCCAACTCATAGCGACCCTATAGGACAGAGTAGAACTCCACGGGATTTACAAGGCTGTAATCTTTACAGAAGCAGACTGCCACATCTTTCATCCTGCAGAGCAGCTGGTGGGTTCAAATTGCAGATCTTTTGGTTAGCAGCCAAGTGCTTTATCCACTGTGCCACCAGGGCTCCTTCTAACTAGGATAGTGAGAATGAGATAATATCAACCCTTGGCAGGGACCAAAGCATGTTAAAGCTGGTGGAAAATTTGGAGGCAAAAAGGGGTAAAATTTCTTATTTCTGTCAGTGTAAAAATTACTCCCTTGATTAGAGCAGCATTTCTCTCCCCTGAATATATGCAAGTACCATACCTCTGAACTTGAACTCACAGAATAGTATAAACTACTCAATGTATTCAGTGAACAAATAGAGTAGTTATTATGTATATAGGTCTGTTAGGCACTTTAAAGTCTAGTTGAGGATTCAAGGCATACCTGAGTAAAATATTGAGTAGCAGTAAAAGGGATGTCACAAGGCTATATGTGAAAAAATAACATATGCATGGTTAAATAGATAATTAACAGCTCACCCTGGTCTAGAATGATTAAGACCATTTTTATAATGAAGTGAGTGCTTGAGCCTAGCTGTGAGGGGTCAGATTAGATTTGTATAGATAACAAGGACAAATCAGCATAAAAGAAACAACTTTAGTGAAAAAGGAGTGGAGGTAGGAATGCAAATTCTGGGAACTGTAGATTAGTCCGCTGCTGGTGGGGGGAGGGCTGTTTCCTTTTTTAAAGATAGTGTAATTTTTTCCCCCCTTCTTCCCATTTCAGGTGCAGACAAAACTCTAGATTCCAGTGCAGAGGATCATACTTTGAGTGAACAAGATTCCATACAGAAAAGTCCTTTTTCAGAAACTATGGATGTGAAGCCTTCTGATATGACTTTACCACTAGCTCTTCCACTTGGGACTGAGGACCACCACATGCTTCTGCCTGTCACAGATAATCAGTCTCCTACATCAGATACATTGTTGAGGTCAGCTGTGAATGGTTATTCAGAACCACAGTTGATATTTTTACAACAGTTATACTGACTTTGTGAGGAGTATGGAATTGCTAAGATATCTCTGATAGTAAATATAAACATCTCTGATTAGGTGAATATATTCATCTTAAATTACCATTCATTTGATTTGTGACCATTATTTTTCATTCACTGAAGTAAAAGCACCTGATGCTGCATCATTACTGTGCAATGTTTGTTTTGATTTTTGGCTTTTATGTCTAGACTATACACATAGCTTTTTTAGAAATGAATTATGCTACAATAGCACTATTTTGAGATGGAGAAGTTTTATTTTCTTTTAAAGCTGTCTTAATTCCATTTTTATTTTGCATTTTAGAATTATCCTTCATTTTTTGAAGTAAAATCCATTAGTTTATATGATTGAGTTTTTTTTTTAATTGTGGTAAAAATACATACAAGAAAATATGTGCCATTTCAACATCTTTTACACGTACAGTTCAGTGACACTGATTACATTCATCATGCTATGCAGCCATCACCGTGTTTCCAGATTTTTTCATCACCCTTAACAGAAGCTCATTGCTCCTTAAATGATTCAGTTTTGACCTGTAGAGCTTTTGTTATTTTCCTCCCCTCAAAATTTAAGCAAAATCCACAATAATATCAGCCCAAGAGTGTTGCTATTTATAAGCCCCATTGGCCAGTACATAAATTGTGGGGTGATGGGGGGATAAAATTTCTTATTTCTGCATAAGAAAACTTAGGTACTAACAAGAATTGTGGTCTTTCTCAATTAATATATTTCGTTGGAGGTAACTATTCTAAGAAAACAAATATTTCTCTTAAAAGCTAGAAAATTATATAAATTTTTGTTCATTTAAAACTCAGTATTCTGGAGTAAACCAATGGTAGTAGTTTCGGTTTGAGTTAATTGAGGCTCTGTTTTCAAAATGAATTTTAAATAGGTATTTAGTGTTCTTGTATTGTCAAAGGACAGTTTTAAAATTTGATTCAGTTTTATGTTTTAATAGGTTTCTAAATTGCTGGAGATCAGGAGACTACTGGGTTTTGAAAAATTTTGATAAGCATCTCTTATGCCTATTATGCACTTTTAAAAAAATAAATATTAAATTCTAAATTTTCTAAATATAAACATATAGTAATGCATACTATAAATCACTTGGTTTCTGAATTTGATACATTATATTGCATAAAGAGTAAGAAGCTAGCTTCAATTATAAGTAAACATTTTGGACTATCAGAAGGCCAATTTATTTTATAGTTGAGTTTTCTATAAGATTTGGATTTTAAAATTTTATAAATTAAACCACATTTGATTATTGTTGTAGTTTCGCAGTGGTCCTTTTCCTTCCTAATAAATGTAGAAAATTCGTATTATCGTGATATTTACTACCACTCTTCTCCATCCCACTTTTCCAATGTATTGATTTATTTCATTACTTATTCTTTATGCATTAAATTATCAGTTCCACACAGTCATTTCCTATACTGCTGACCCAGTACCGTGGCCACATTATTTCTGCTATGCATTAGTTGTGGCTTATTTGTTTTCTGGTTTATTACATCTGTAATAAAGTTAATGTATTTTCTATTGGTATTAATTTTTTTAATTGTAATTTTCTCTGTTTGGGATCCAAGTCATAGGAACCAATTAGAGGACATAATAAAACCACTTAATTCTTGTAAACTGTAGAGATCTTTAACCATTTCACAGTACATTCGGCATTTTCACAATAACTTGCCACCAGTGGGATTGACTTAGTTAAATGAATTTGAAATACTGCCTTTGTATAATACACTCAAACTTAATATTTAATTATTTATCTAAGAAATCTAATATATGTTTATTAACCCAGTATACTGAGTTTAAATAAAATTTGTAAACTTATAAAATGCTCAACTAATCTATTCTGGCTTAAATTCAATAGGAGTTTATTGAAATGTGAAGAAATTAAAGAAAATTGAAAGACTCTGCCTCTTTAAGAAACGTACTAAAATGGAGAGGTTGTGTTTAATTCTCATCTTGATTAATCAAAGCATCTAATGAACAAGATTTCTTTTTAAAAACTGCTGCAGTGATGTTCGTAATTCTTTGAGGATAATAGTCACCAAATTTGCTCAAATATAGTGGTAATTAACATTTTGCCTTTGTATAGGTTAGCCTTCAAAATTGTCATAATTATTATTAGTTTATATATTTAGAGTGGCTAAGGCTGGTTTACTGTGCTTTTCTTCACCTCATTATCTACTTCTTAAATACTTTTCTTTTAAATTGACATGGCTTGAGTCATCATCTGCTATTCCAGGAGGACATGTAAAGAAAACTTGAAAGCTAAGTATCCCTCGCCATTCTTCTCATCACGTTATGCTCTTCTTTACCATAACATGCATATATTTTAGTTGTACCTGGTATTATTCTAAACAGCCCTGGTGGTGCAATGGTTAAGTGCTCGGCTGTGAACTGAAAGATCGGCAGTTGAAATCCACCAGCCACTCCTCGGGAGAAAAGACCTGGTGATCTGCGTCTGTAAAGATTTCAGCCTAAGGAATACTACTGGACATTTCTACGCTGTCCTATAGGGTCACTATTAGTCAGAATCAATTCAACAGCACACAATAACCATGGTATTATTCTAACACTCGTAATTAACATTTTAGTTAAGTTCATCTTTCACTGAATACATTTATTACAATGCAGTGTTTTGGGAAAAGTATATTCTTAATTATTTAAGTATTATAAAGTTGGTTGAAATCTCTTTAGATTGTTAATTTTTTTTCTAAATTCTATTTTTTTTGTTGAGAATATTCATAGCAAAACATACCATTTAATAGTTCCTACATGTAAAATTTAGTGACATTGATTACATTCTTCAAGTTGTGCATCCAATCTCACCCTCCTTTTCTGAGTTGTTCCTCCCTTATTAACATAAACTCACTGCTCCCCTAAGGTTCCTATCTAATCTTTGAAGTTGCTGTTGTCAATTTGATCCTATATAGATGGTTTTTAAAAGAGCATAATGTTCAAGGCAAGCCTTTTTTACTAGTAAAACTAAACTATTGTTCAGTTTTAAGATGACTTCAAATTCTACCCAAAGCAATCTACAAATACAGTGCAATCCCAATCCAGGTACCAACGGCATTCTTTAAAGAGATGGTGTGATGGTTAAGATTGTGTGTCAACTTGGCTGGGCCATGATTCTCAGTGTTTAAATGTGATCACTCCCATGATTGAATATACTGTGAGTAGCCAATCAAATGAAAGGGAGTTTCCTTGGGGTTGTGGCCTGCATCTGAATATAAGTAGACGTTCTGGCTTTTTGCTCACTCTGGATCCTGTGGCTGCCTCCTGTCGTCTCATTTCCAGTTCCTGGGACTTGAGCTGTCAGCTTATCTGCCGAACTTGGGATTCATTGATCTTCATAGCCTGTGAGCGGAGCCCTGCTCTCTGACCTGCCGATCTTGGGTTCGCCAGCCCCAGCAGCTACGTGAATCAGGAGAAACCTTGCAGTCTTGCCTGCTGATCTTGGAATTCGTTGATCTTCACAGCCTGTGAGCGGGAGCCCTGCTCTCTGACCTGTCAATCTTGGGCTCGCCAGCTTCTGCAGCAGCATGACTTGGCAGAGGCCTTTACCCTGGTCCACGGACTTGGGACATTCTAGCCTCTACAATTGCGTGAGCTGTTTCCTTGATATAAATATATATACACGCACACGCTTTACTGGTTTTACTTCTCTAGAGAACCCAGCCTAAGACAGATGGAAAAACTAATCATTAACTTTATATGGAGAGGAAAGAGGCCCCAGATAAGTAAAGCAGTATTAAAGAAGAGGAATAAAGTAGGAGGACTCACACTACCTGACCTCAGAACCTACTATACAGCTACGGTATCAAAACAGCCTGGTACTGGTACAATGACAGATGCATTGACCAATGGAACAGAATCGAGAACCCAGATGTAAATCATCCACCTGCGATCACCTGATCTTTGACAAAGGCCCAAAGTCCATCAGATGGGGAAAAGACAGTCTTTTTAACAACTGGTGCTGACAAAACTGGATGTCCATCTGCAAAACAATGAAAGAGGACCCATACCTCACACCACACACAAAAACTAATTCAAAATGGATCAAAGACCTAATTATAAAACCAAAAGCTATAAAGGGCATAGAAGAAAAAATAGGGTCAGTGCTAGAGACCCTAATAGCATTAACAGGGTGCAAAACATAACAATACACAAACACCAGAAGATAAGCTAGATAACTGGGATCTTCTAAAAATTAAACACTTAGGCTTATCAAAAGACTTCACCGAAAGAGTAACAAGAGAACCTACAGACTGGGAAAAAAATTTGTGACTATGACAAATCTGACAAAGGCCTAATCTCTAAAATCTACAGGAAAATCCAACACCTCTACAACAAAAAGACAATCCAGTTAAAAAATGGGCAAAGCATATGAACAGACACTTCACCAAAGAAGACATTCAGATGGCTAACAGATACATGAGGAAATGCTTGTGATGACCAGCCATTAGAGAAATGCAAATCAAAACCACAATGAAATATCATTTTATCCCAACATAACTGGCAGAAATCAAAAAAACAGAAAAGAATAAATGTTGGAGAGGCTAAGGGGAGACTGGAACTTTTATGCATTGCTGGTGGGAATGCAAAATGGTACAACCATTTTGAAAAATGATATGGTGCTTCCTTAAAAAGCTAGAAATAGAAATACCATATGATCCAGCAATCCCACTCCTGGGAATATATCCTGGAGAGATGTCAACATGAATAGACATGCACACCCATGTTCATTGCAGCATTAGTCACAATAGCAAAAAGATGGAAACAATCTAGGTGCCCATCAACTGATGAATGGATAAACTGGTACATACAGTGGAATGCTACACAACGATAAACAACAATGATGAATCTGGAAGCATCTCACAACATGGATGAATCTGTACGGGATTATGCTGAGTGAAATAAGTCTGTCACAAAAGGACAAATATTGTATGAGACCACTACTATAAAAACTCATGAAAAGGTTTACACACAAAAATAAACACTCTTTGATGGTTATGTGAGAGGGGAAAGGTGGGAGGGAAAAACACTAAATAGACAATAGATTAAGTGGTGACTTTGATGAAGGGTAAGACAGTACACAGTACTGGAGAAGACACCGCAGCTTGTCCAGGGCAATGTAATGGAAGCTCATAGACACATCCAAACTTCAGAAAAAGTAAAAAAAAAAAAAAAAGATATTTTTGGTTTAAGGTTTAAAAATTATCCAGGGCAATAGTTTCAAGGGTTCATCCACCTTCCATGGTGCCACAAAGTCTAGAGTCCATGCATTTTCCCCCTTTCAATCAGGTTTCTTCTATGGAATCTTTGATCAAAATATTCAGTAATGGTAGCTGGGCACCATCCAGTACTTCTGTCTGGTCTCATGGCAAAGGAGGCAGTTGTTGATGGAGGCAATTAGCCACATTCCATATCCTCCTATTTCTGACTCCTTCCTCTTTTACTCCAGGTGAATAGAGACCAATTGTGCTTTGGATGGCCACTAGTAAGCTTTTAAGACCCAGGCACTACACAATGAACTAGGAGGTAGAACAGAAGCACTAACCATGT